AACAATCCGGAAGTAAAGGCCACTTGATTTATCATCCCGATCATTCCCACCACCATTTTTAATCCGGGCATCACCCACGGCATTATCCCGGCCATAGCAAAGGCTGGAACCACCAAATATTGAACCATATCGCCCATTTCCATCTTCATTTTTCGGAAAGACACGACACTCTCGTTTAATTTAAACCGCACGTTTAAAATTGTTTGATTCAAAGAGAACGTGGCTTGAATTCCGTTAAATAGCGTAAATGAGTTTGATGAATTTGTTTGAAAAGAATTGGAGGCGATTACGGTTGATGATAAGGATGTAAATATGAGTAAGACTGAGGAAAATTGTGAAAGGAGAGCTCGTCTGGACATGGTGAGAACGTGAAGCGAAATGAGAATGAGAGGATGGAGGTGAAAGAATGTTTTTAGGTGAGGAGTTTTTGGTTTTTGTTTGGTTCGTTTCTTATTTGAAGTTTTTGTGTGATATTAAAATGGTTTTTTTTTGTACCGTTAACTTCGAATTGTAGATTTTGATAAAAATATGAAAATTTTTTGAATCCTAGCATGTTATAAAAAAAACTTTTTATATAAAAGTTGTAGCAAATTTTATTCTTACCAATATTAGTCTCTTTCACTTTTGCTCTCAGATGCGTCAATTTCGAGAAAAATACGAAAATATGAGAATTTGATGATTTTCGTTGTTTTTCTACTAGATGGTAAAACTCGGGAATCGGAGAACTTTACAAAAAAACTTTTAGATCAAAAGTTGTAGATAATTTAATTCTTAACAATATTGCTCTCTTTCACTTTTGCTCTCAGATGCATCAATTTCGAGCAAAATACGAAAATATGAAAATTTGATGATTTTCGTTGTTTTTCTAGTAGATGATAAAATTCGGGAATCGGAGAACTTTACAGAAAAACTTTTAGATCAAAAGTTGTAGATAATTTAATTTTTAACAATATTACTCTCTTTCACTTTTGCTCTTAGATGCATAGATATCGAGAAAAATATGAAAATTTGATGATTTTCGTTGTTTTTCTACTATATGGTGACACTCGGAAATTAGAGAACTTTACTGAAAAGCTTTTAGATCAAAAGATGTAGATAATTTAATTCTTAACAATATTACTCTCTTTCACTTTTGCTCTCAGATGCATAGATATTGAGAAAAATATGAAAATAAGAAGAATTCGTTGTTTTAACAACTTATAAAACAGCGAAATTCATCAAATTATTAAATTATCGTATTTTTCACAATATCTATACGTCTGAGAGGAAAAGTGCAAGACAGCAATATTGGTAAGAATAACATTTTCTACAACTTTTGTTTAAAAAGTTTTTTTGTATCATACTCCGATTTCCGCGTGCTACCATTAATTACTAGTAAAACAATGAAAAACATCAAATTTTCATATTTTTGTATTTTTCTCAATATTGACGCATCTGAGAGCAAGAGTAGAAGAGAGCAATATTAGTAAGAACAAAATTTTCTACAACTTTTGTTTAAAAAGTTTTTTTGTATCATGCTCCGATTTCCGAGTGCTACCATTAACTACTAGTAAAACAACGAAAAACATCAAATTTTCATATTTTTGTATTTTTTTCAATATTGACGCATCTGAGAGCAAAACTAGGAGAGAGCAATATTGATAAGAATAAAATTTGCTACTACTATTGTTCTAAAAGTTTTTTTGTAAGATGCTTCGATTCCCAAGTGTGACCATAATATCTAGTACAACAACGAAATTCATCAAATTTTCATAATTTCGTACTTTTCTCAATATCTATGCATCTAAGAGCAAAAGTACAAGAGAGCAATATTGCTAAGTATAAAATTTGCTACAACTTTTGTTCTAAAAGTTTTTTTATTACATGCTCCAATTCCCAAGTGCTACCATTAGCAACTTGCAGAACAACGAAATTTATCAAATTTTCATATTTTCGTACTTTTCTCGATATTTAAGCAACTTAGAGCAAAAGTGAAGGAGAGCAATACTGTTAAGAATAAAATTTGCTACAACTTTTGTTCTAAAACTTTTTTTGTATCATGCTCCTATTTTCGAGTGCTACCATTAACTACTAGTAAAACAACGAAAAACATCAAATTTTCATATTTTTGTATTTTTCTCAATATTGACGCACCTGAGAGTAAGAGTAGAAGAGAGCAATGTTGGTAACAATAAAATTTGCTACAACTTTTGTTCTAAAAGTTTTTTTTGTATCATGCTCCGATTCCCAAATGCTACCATTAATTACTAATAAAACGTTTAGATAAAATGGATTCCAAGTTCATCGTGTGTTTTATTAAATATAACCAAAATAAAACGATGAATCATCTTTATTTTATTTCAGTCCAACATTGAGTTTTATCGCTTGATGTCAAAAATTTAGGTTGTCTTTGGTCTTTTCTCTCTTCAACGAACGGATATTTCCGCATTAAGAAGTTTAGATAAAGTGGATTCCAAGTTCATCAACATCGTGTATTTTATTAAATATAACCAAAAAAAGTTATATTATATAAAAACAGAGATATCCGTTCTGACTCAATCGATGAAGAGAGAAAAGACCAAAGACAACCTAAATTTTTATTTTTACAAAAAGCACGGAACTTTTGTAACAAAACGATACGATTTTCCCCCTCCACTCGTTCTCAGCAGAAAATTTCATACAAAAGTTGTTCTAAATTAAATTCTAAAACAATTTTCTCAATACAAAATATATAAAAATATATATATAAATTTTTTTTTGAGGTTATGTTCTTAATTATTGATCAAATCAAAAATTTGTATTAACAATATTTGTGTAAAATTGCTACAGGAACAGAGTTTATTAATAAAATTTCATATTTTTGTATTTTTCTCAATATTGACGCATCTCAGAGCAAAAGTGCAAGAGAGCAATATTGGTAAGAATAAAATTTGCTACAACTTTTGTTCTAAAAGTTTTTTGATAACATGCTTCAATTCCCGAATATTACCATTAACTAATAATAAAACAAAAAATTCATCAAATTTTAAAATTTTCGTATTTTTCTCAATATTGACGCATCTGAGAGCAAATATATAAGAGAGCAATATTGTTAAGAATAAGATTAGCCACAACTTTCGTTCGAAAAGTTTTTTTGTAATATGCTCCGATTTCCAAATGTTACCATCAATAACTTGTAAAAAAACGAAATTCATCAAATTTTAGGTAAGTTGGCAATGCGACTAAAAACGCACGGCTAAATCCGAATGATTAAGTTCTAGGTCTAGTGTTAGTTCTAGTTTTACACTATCACTAGAAAAAGATAGAAAAAGCTTCCGGGAGGAATAATGCCAAACGTTGAAATTTAACAAAAATTAAAGAAATTCAAAAAATCATTCTGAATTTAGTTTTTTGAATAAAGATACGTAATAAAAAAAAACCCAACAATTATTATACACCATTTCAAAGAGAAAGCTTTGAGCTTGAAACATGTTGGGTTGATTTAAAAAAATTATTAGATAAAATTACATTTTAAGCTTAATTTCAAAATGTCAAAATACAGGGTGAAACTTAGAAAACTGTGGAAGGGTTAATTATGGAAATTGAGGAATGATTTTGGTATCAAATTAAAGCTGAAGATCTTTCGAAATCTGTATTTGTTTAAAAGTTTTATATAAAAAAATTTTGAGAAAAAAGGTTTCTTAGATAATTTGATTAGGTTTAAAAAAAATAATTAATTTTCAAAAAATCATAACTTTTTATTTATGATAATGAAGAAGCGATATATGGCTCAAATTGAAGCTGAAGATGTCTTCTTTCGAAATCTGTATGTTGTTTAAAAACTTTATATAAAAAAATTTTGAGAAAAAAGCTTTCTTAGATAATTTGATTAGATTGAAAAAAAAAATAGTTAATTTTCAAAAAATCATAACTTTTTTATTTATGATAATGAAGAAGCGATTTATGGCTCAAATTGAAGCTGAAGATGTCTTCTTTCGAAATCTGTATGTTGTTTAAAAATTTTATATAAAAAAATTTTGAGAAAAAAGCTTTTTTAGATAATTTTATTAAAATAGTTATTTTTCAAAAAATCATAACTTTTTTA